AAAACCTAAAATTTTAATTAAAAAAAATTAAATCTTAGAAAAATTGAAACCTTCAAGTTTCAATCTTAAAGTTTCATGCTTAAAAAAGTTGGTACCTTAAAGTTTCAACCTTAAAAAGATTGAAATTTTACAATTTTGATTTTAAATAACTTAAACCTTAAAATGACTTTATTTATAACTGTACAAAAATTTTGGTATTTAGCGTTACGTGCCATTCGCTGCTGTGGCTGCTGCAAACTGCGTGAACATTCCCCTAATGCGTCAGAACGAAATCAGCAATGGGATCGACATCTCTGACGAGAACGGCAATAAACTCACGAATTCGAAAGTAGGTTGCATTTCGTATTCACGATGCAATGTATGCAATATTGTGTATCGATAAAGAGAGTTGAACGTACGATTCATTTCAGCTCGCGGCTATCAAAGGTATCAGCCAAGTAGTCATCTCGAGGATTGTTATGTGCGCGCCTGGCATGCGTAAGTGAACGTTAAGTAAAAATATAAAATGCAAGATCAAACGTAATTTATGTTGATATAAAACTGACGTTTGTATGATTCAGTGATTCTGCCGCCTATCATGGAACGATTGGAGAAATATCGTTGGATGCAAAGGATCAAACTGTTGCACTTACCTATACAAGTCTTGTTAGTTGGTTGCTTGTAAGTACTTATATTAATGGTTTCCTTTCTTTTCTCTTCTTTTTGTTTCTTTTTTTTTTTTGTTCTTTGAACTGGTTATCAAATTTGATAAAGTGGTTTCAAGGATGAATATGGATGGAATAATAAGGTATTGCTCGTTAATATTTCAGCCTGACGTTTATGGTGCCCACAGCGTGCGCATTATTCCCGCAAAACTGGTAAGATTTATTATATTTTACGTGTATTTTATTAACCCGCTATCTGTACGTTCAATTACACGCCAGTTTTATGTCGTTCGTTTGTCACGATAATGACCAATCAAAATAATTAAAGCTTGACATTTTTTTAATACAGCCTATTTTAGTAAGTTTTAGTATTAAGATATATGTATAGATTCCGAATTATGTAACTCTTACCCGAATTTATTCGAAACGAGCAACACGACCTCTTTTAACAGTTAAAGTTAACCCATTAATCATTTTTAACGCTGAATATTCAATTACTGTCGCAACAGTTAATATATTGATAAATATTCTGTTTAAATGTACTCAGGTCACAAATGTATTTTGAATATGTTTTATAGCTCAATTAAATCGAGCACTTTGGAACGTTGGGAGCCCGAGAATTACGAGCTTTTAAAGAAGAATTGTCAATCCAAGGAAATACCCACGCGCTTGTACTTCAACAAAGGTCTATAATGCATGGGAACTATAGTCGTGGTAAAATATATACTCGAAGGTGCTCCTTTAATCGCCCTGTACGGGATAGCTAGCCGATTAATAATGGAATTGAATAAGTTTTCTCATATAATACATCGGCGGGGTATACTTGTAGATTTCTGCTGGTTCAGAGTATGAAGAACACGTTCTAAGGAGAACAATAACTACGACAATATTGCATTTCGAATCATTCTTATTCTCTACAGCAATAAGTTTTATTTGTAAGTCTCATTATATATGTATATGTGCTATATCATGGCATTTTAATACTCATTGTGCATCCTCATCAATAACGATCGCCTCTCACGATAGAGATAAACGATACAACCACTGACATATAGTTTGTAAATGTATAACTATCTTTTTGCACGCGAAACATTTCATATGGCAATAACTTCTTTTGACTAAACGCTCAATCGTTTTGTTTTAATTCAATTAGACAGGCGAACGTATCTGTTAATTAATTAACCCACGATTACGCAATGTAAAACACAGTATATTGTTTAATCACTCTATCTTAGATCTTATACGACTGTCGATGTTCCATTGTTACTACCTTCCTGAACTGTTAAACGTTACAAAAGAACGCTGCCATGTATATTTTAGTAACATTACAATAAATACTCTGAAAACTGAGTTTTCAATGGATCCCTTTTATTCGATCATGAATTTTATTTAATTATACATTTAAAAAATTTAATCTAGAACATGTACGTATTAGGCGAAGAATTATATGTTGGGCCGAGAGTGTGTAGCTTGATTCTCTTGCGGCATATAACCGATGCGTTCTTGGATTTCACTTTGCGGCACTTTACCACCCCACGAGGGAGGATTGAATGTTGGCTGTCTTTCAGATTCTTTCTTAGCTTCGAGAGCTTTCCTCATTGACTCGTATTCTTGCAAATCGTCCAGTCGTAAGTCGATTCTCGTCGGGCTGCGCCGTATCATTTTACTGAAAAAGAAGTTCAACGCACCTTTCTTTTAGCATGAAAAAGTCTTGTTGCACGTCGATCGGTATGTGAGAAATGTCGGTAACGAAGAACATACACAAATGGACTAATACTTTCTTTAACCTTTAAAACTACGCAACTCTGTACAACATAGTTGTACACGAAAAATTCATATCCTATTAAAATCTTTCGTTTAAAGAAACAACACGTCAAGGTTTCTACAGTAATTTTTGCTTTCAAACCGTTTATTCTTGTTAAAGGTAGACGAAAATTTGATAGATTTGAGAATACATTTTTCCTAGGCGTGCAACATTGTTACTAAAGAATTTTTCGAATATTCTATAATATTAGACATATCTAATATAGATACAAGATAGACAATCTTATAAAACATACACGTTAAATTATTCTTGCATAAGATACATTGTAAATTTGTTACATTAGTTGAACAATAAATTTTTTTCAGTACTTCTGAACATTCGATATCATAAGCACAGAATACGCTTGAATTTATTACAGTATCAATGGACGTATTGTTAGGAGTTAAAAATATGAAATTTAAAGAGTGAAATAAGTACAAAGTAAAATTAATCCGGCAGAAGACAGTGACAAAGTTTAACATTAATGCAATTATTTAATTCAAAGACTGAAATATAAAACAATTTGCACGGGGTACCAAGACTGTATAAAGACACCCCTGAACGTTAGGTTAAGATGGCGGATTACAAGGAATAGATAACTGGCCAGTAATAATTCTGAAATAAATAACACTATCAAGAATGCATAGATTACTGAGCCTTTTATATTCGCGAAAATGACATATATCCTACGATATTTCATACGAATCATTCATAGATTCGCATCATTTACAGAACTATCGTGAAAATGTGGGTACAACAAGGGATTTGGCCGCCGTAAACACGCTTCCGATCGAGTGCTACAATTTTCGTTAATTTTGCCACGGCGGCAAGCACTCCCCCTTAGTAAATTGTAAATAATTGTAAATTAAGCACCAGGCAACGAAGCGCCAGCACGAAAGGATGCTTTACTTGGAAGATTATGTCGAAAGTACGTAAAAACGAGCCATGCTCTGCTTACCCAGCTTCTCAAGAAAGTTACTAACTTTCCCGAATATACTCTCTCATACAAACATGAAAAGCTTTTCTCAAAGCAAATATCTTAGTAGATATTGTGTTATCACATATAATAATTTAAATGTTGTTTTTTATTTTATCGTAGGATTAAATATCACGTAGTATGAGCTATTACTTTACATATCGTTCTGTATAAATTTTAGGTTAGTTATATGTTTTCCGAATGGTCAATAATTCCTCTGCTCTTACTAATATATTTTGGAGTTATACTTCAACTTGTAATATTTGCTATGAATACGGCACGAATATTGTAATGACTGCATTAATTAGATAAATGCTACTTGTTCTTAATTATTTTTTCCTCTTTATTTTGATTTTGTTTGGTTATGTTGACCTTGTTCTTCTATGGTTTCAGTGATCGAGCACCTGCCACAAGAATTGAGAGACCGATTCACAGAAATGAGAGAAATGGACTTAGGTGTACAGAGTATGTACATTATCATGCAACATAAAACCACCAATACATATGTACATGAAATGTACTTATGTTATTTATAAAACATGCTAATGAATTTTTCAATTGTTGCAGATTCAATGGACAGTTTAGAAAAAAAAGTAAAAACATTTTTTGCAAATGCAAAAAAAATGAAACCTAGTGAAAAAGAAGCAGAATATGAAGCCATTAGAAGAGAGTATTACAAGACTTTGGAGGATGCAGATGAGAAGGTGCACTTAGCTAATCAGATGTATGACTTAGTAGATAGATATTTGAGGAGATTAGACCAGGAATTGCACAAATTTAAAATGGAACTAGAAGCAGATAATAAAGGTATCACAGAAATATTGGAAAAGAGGTCATTGGAGTTAGATCAACCACCCACAAATAGTAGTCAAAAAGAGAATCGGTATAGCTTTACACCATCCAGTAGGTCAAGAGACAATCACAGTCATTGTGAGTAAATTTTATTGCCAGTTTAATATACGGTACGATATTTTGTAATTATATAAATTTTTCAGCTCGGGCAGAAAAAAGGAGAGATTCAAATGCATCCTCTACTTCAATAGAAAAACGTTTAGCTATAGAAAAAATTTCCCCAAGTCTTCCTGAATCGCGACCAGCTTCTGCAAATTCAGGACCAATTATTGCCGCTACAAGCGTGCCATCTACCCCTACAGCAATCGCAAATTCCGTCGGCTCTGTGAGTTATAATCTCGGGCACATAGGAGCTGGTGGAAATGCCATAGCGGCTGCAGCATCACAGGCAATTGCTGCAACACAGCAAATGCAACAGGGCAGACGTACTGCCAGCTTAAAAGCTAGTTATGAAGCCATTAATACCGGGGGTGTACATGCAGCAGAGTTTAGTAGAGAATTGGCTGGTGCTGCTCAAACTGCCATTGCAGCTATACAAGAAACAACTAAGAAGCATAAAAAGTATGCTTGGAAAATTAGAGTAACATTAACAAAAGGTTGATGTATATTTCTTTTAACCAATATTATTGCTCATTTTAGAAAAGTAACAACTGCTGTCCCAAGTTCGAGTGTAGTTGCTGCTTCTGTTCAGCAACCCGTATCACCTCCAGTTATAACTACGAATACACAAGTCGTAGATTCGGATAATCCCGATTGGACTTATGATCCAAATGAACCAAGATATTGTATATGTAATCAAGTATCTTATGGGGATATGGTTGCCTGTGACAATTCAGATGTAAGTCCAATTCTTCTTTCTCATTATGATTCTTTATCAATACAACAAGAATGTTTTGTATTCATCAAGTTATTCTTTTCTTCACACCTTTTTTTACAGTGTCCTTTCGAATGGTTTCATTATCCTTGTGTGGGTATCACTGCACCGCCAAAAGGCAAGTGGTACTGTCCTCAATGTACATCTTCTATGAAGAGACGCGGAGGTCGGAAAAACTGATTGTATTATAATCAGTGCAAATACAATGAGAAAAAATTGATACTACCTCTTAGGCACTGTCCGTCAAGTACCAACTTAGTTAGGAAGCTATTAATTCTGATTTTATATGACTTTTTAAATATGTTTAAAGTTTAAGTCGTGATCTTATCTGGTCTTGGTCTTGTCCCACGAAACTTGAATTTCTGTTTCTAAAGCAGAAGAGAGCAGTTTTTTTACTGCATTTTGTAGGTATAACGAGAGGATCAGATGGTGCAAAAAGTGGGCTTCGAACAAATTCCGTTTTACGAGATTTTTCGCGTACAAGTATTGCAAATATTTTTTAATACTTTTTGCACCATCCTATACCGCGACCACATTAGATAGTTTCTACGAATTTACATTGAAAGGTAATCCTTTTCCTCTGGAAATACACAATACGATTCATCGACTGAGACACCAGAGGCGGTTTTCACTGTGAATTTTTCGAAATTTACGTTTTTAGTTCACGCGATGTCAGACAATTGTCGAGCAAATCTTCGTGTATTTACGACTCGTGTTAGTTCAGACGTGCTTAGTGTCTCGCTGGATTGACGACTGTGCGAGCAATAACGTTTTAAGTGTTCTACGCTTTCCGAAGAGGAACGACGCGAGAAAGAGAGAAAGAGAGAGAGAAAAAAACAAATTGTGAGAATACTACTTTCGAAATGAAAGAATGTAGCAACTTGATGTATAAATAAAGCGAACGATGCAGATTTATTATCTGTGTTATTATCATTTGCAAACATTTCCTTACACTTATATATTCATGTTCCTATTTTCTAAGTATTGAAATAAATATTCCTTATTTAAATATATTCAATTTTCAAATAATTTTCTCGTTCGTGATTGTAACTCACTACGTCATCGGAATATTTAACTTTTAAGGGAATTCCAATATCTTATTGTTTTTGGGTCACTCTCAGCGTTAACCACGAGTTTTACTAGCAAACCACAAGAGCGCGTTAAACTTATTCCAACAACCTAGCCTTCGAAAAAGATGTCACTACTAAAGCAATTTTATTTTTCACAATCTCGTATCAGGACAAGAGAAATACGATTGTTGGTAATAATTTATAGCCGGCAATTTTCTATAAAAAACTTGGCTGTATTTAAAACATCGTTAGAGCCATACTGTAAAAATATGAACGACATGGAAAAACCAACGTAATTACCACATGATTCATAACGCAACCACCGGGAACCATGATTATTGACCTTCTTCACTTTAGATCACGCCTGACCTTGCCTCTCGTTCCACTCGAACATTTTTACCATGAAAATCGAGTGACATTGCGACACGCTTTTCATATATGTATAAATGAAGACATAATTATGATCGGAAGTAATTTGCGCTTAAATTGCCCGGTGATATATTTTACACCGTTACATTGTTGTGGCAAGGATTAATGCATCTCTACCTATGAAAGGCCGAGTATTATTTTCGTTCCGAAAGGATGTACGAGTTAATGCGCTCCTTTAAATGTCACTGTAGGGTATTCTAGTTGTATATAAATCAACGAATGCCCGTTGGTTAAAAAGTCTCGCCATTCTTCAACTCTGTGCACTTTCGTCTATTCGTTATAGAAAATTGATCAGTTGCTGCTCGATCATGTTCGGTACATTGCTGACGTTCTTCTTCCTGTCTATCCTAAGGAATCACGTTCTCGCACAGGAGGCGATTGTTTTTGACAGTATGACGACAACTATGTCATCAAGTATGTAAAACACTTAAAAATTAAGTAGTATCAATTATCACTAGCTTGTCTTAATAGTTAAAAATATGGACTTTGTATTTAGAACTGTTTTAAAGTTGAATTACTATTTTTCCTCACTACCGGAAATTACTTCGAAAGTCAAATTTTTACTAAACATTTTTTTTGTTAAGTTAGCATTCTTTCCATTTTTATGAAAAAAATTATATCGAATATTTAAATATATTTGACGAATGAAATTTTTGTTGAAAATTCAAATACAGCAAAATCGTATTGAGATAGCATCGAAAGATGTCTTCCGGTTTCTATGAAATTTGATTCAAATATTTTATATATCGTTTGCATTAATTAAAGTGAGAAAAATTCAATTCTTTTTAAGGTAACAACATGAATAACGGCATGTCTTGCTGTTGCGTTTTAGCAGGCACTTGTCCATCCGTCAATACAGGAATCGATATTCGAATTGTTAATGTAGTATGTACAAATAATTACTCAAATTTTTATTGTAGTATGTACGAATAATTTACAAATTTTTCGTAAAATGCATTGTACTATTTTTAATTTTTCGAGGTTTCTAATTGTTCCGCTGGACAAGTATATTGTTGCACACGTACTTCAGGAAATTTGGTCGATACTTCTTGCGGTGTTAGAAAAATTCCGGAAAGTTCACATCCTCAGGGTCAAGCCAGTTACGGTGCATATCCATGGCAAGCTGTGCTTTTAACGACTAATAACGTTTACGTCGGTTCTGGCACTCTTATTAGCCCAAATCATGTGCTAACTGTTGCTCACAAAGTAGAATCTTACATGTGAGTAAATTACAGGAATGACATGAATAAAATAATAATTTTTAATACTCCACAGCATCTTGTGTATTTTATATTTTAATATGATAGACTTAGCACTAAAAAGTACATATTTTTTATTCAAGAAATGGAGGACTTAAGGTGAGACTAGGAGAATGGGATGGACAGTCTACCAGTGAATCTTATTCAACTAAGGAATATTCAATTGCAAAAATATCTGTGCATCCTCAATTTAATTCTGTTAATCTTCAAAATGATGTAGCTTTATTAACTTTGAGTGGTACTGTTCCTATTTCAAGCAGTCCCAATATTAACACTGCATGTTTTCCTTCAGGAATACCTGCAGATTATACAAGGTAAAGCAAAAACTTTCACTTAATATTACATTCCATTTGGTCATTACTGTATAATGTTTTTTATAAATATATGTTTTTCTTCAAGATGTTGGGTGTCAGGTTGGGGGAAGGATGCATTTGGCATGAATGGCAAATACCAAAGTATAATGAAAGAAGTGGATGTACCAATTATTGATCAGTCAACCTGTCAAAATTCTCTTCGACAAACTAGACTTGGACAGAATTTCATTTTAAACAAAAATAGTTTTATATGTGCAGGAGGTGAACAAGGAAAAGATGCATGCACAGTAAGTTGTTAAAATACAACAAATACTAATTTTTATTGCCTATTGAAAGTATAAAATAAAATGATCTATTCTAATTAAAATTCTTTTAGGGTGATGGTGGTTCACCATTAGTATGTCAAAATGGGAATGGACAATGGCAAGTGGTTGGAATGGTTGCATGGGGTATTGGTTGTGCAACCAGTAATGTTCCTGGTATATATGTAAATGTATATAATTACATTCCATGGATCACACAACAAATAAGTCAAAGCAAATAATTATGCAAAACATAATAAACATAATTATTATCCAAAGATTAATTTATTTGAAATACTGTATGACTTAGCACATTATTTATAGTAAATTATAATTGTTAGTTTATATTTCTTTATGTTATTTGTACAGCTTTTAGAAATTTTAATTTTGTCAATACCTCATAGTGCATCTGTACAAGTATACTTATGTGAAGAAATCTGTACATGACTTACTAAATATACTATTATGCAAGTATTACACCTACATATATTTTTTTTTTTTTCAAAACTTCCATATTTCTTTAACAAATAACAATTCATTAAAAAAATAATGTTGGATAACCAACCGTTTACCGATAGTGAATCACGGAATTACGGAATCACTCTAGAAACAGTACTGTAATAATAGAGATAGTAACCCTGCAAAAACAAATTACTCATCAACTCGCTGACTGTCCCTTCAAAGTTCTTTCTAGCAATTTGTCACCAGGGCCGAGTTCACCTCCACCCCAAAATCCAATCCTTATAAATATACCTATAAAATCCCTTACAGAGAGAGTTAGTCCGACACACATCACAGCGAATACAACATTTTCTTCTCTTCGCGAAATTCGCATCTTATTATATGAAAATCTGCGTGTACAAAGTATCACCGTTGCAAATAAATATAATCGGCGTCTACTTTCGCACCCGGATTCCCACAATAATAACTATTTGAAACTGTAGTTAAAATACAACAGTTAACTTTATGACTCATCAAGTTTTTAGAGTGGCAAAGTAACAATTTTATTGTAAACTTTATCAACTTCAAAACTTCCGTTCTATTCTAATTTTACATCCACGATAACAACAATATCATATTTTCCTGTGCATCTTCCGACGACAGTGTCCCATTTCATACGTAATATGTAGTAATATTTTTAAACTACAGCTATGAAACTGCATTTCGAAACTGCATTCTTCCACGAATAATTCAAAGCAGATGTCAGTCGCATTACATTTTACATGTAAAATAAGCTTAACGTGTACAGCGTTAATAAAATGAATTTTAATTCAGAAAGAAATTGTTTTTTTGATACATTAATTAATTAGTGTTTAGGTGTAAATTTTTGTTTAAATAACAAGAACATAACTTATGAACTTACATATACATGACGCTTCAGTCATGAAAACCATAAAGTGCATTCTACCTAAACACCAGAATTGCGGATAGGGGGCTTATCGTGTTTGACGTTTGTAGGTGAAAGAGTACTGGTTGTTTATAAATTTTCGAGCCGAAGGATACGTAAATATCAATGGATTCCAGCACAGACGACGATGGAACATATAGCGATTTGGGTATACATTTTTATCACTTACATTTAAATATATTAAATTGATCCTAAAGAATTAAAGGTTATGTACTGAATTTTTCACATATTGTATTAAAATACAAAAATCCTTGTTTGTCAATTGTGTATAAAACGTAAATTGTATCCTTTATGTTTCATATTTTATCATATTCTTGCATTATTCTATTCGTAATCATTCGAAGTTTCTTATGTGTATTCATAAATTTTTTATTGTAAATGAGCAAATGTGAATTTTAATACAATTGTTTTGCAGAATATCCGAATTATAGGCAATATAATGTCGAGGAGGATTATTCAGAGGAAACTACAGATGAAACATCTGTGTCTACTGAAAGCACTTTTGATCTAACATTACCTGCAACACATTCTGTAAGCCTTCAACAAGTGTTTATACATTTACAATAGATACCTGTTTTTAATTTTAAATACAATATATATGTTTATCTATACCCATTACACCAGACAAAGATTTTATGTGATCTGCATTTGAAATTTTTATTATGGTAATACTTATTTTATAGATACAATTTTTATTTTTTAAGCTTACTTATAGTTTATATTAATTTAATAGTATTTGATCAATGTTTTTGATAATATGTAAATTATTAGTATTTAGGACCCAATTTAGAAGAACTTAGAGGAAGGACAATATTAGATGATGGAATTTATGTGAACTTACCATTGTTAGTGAAACAATCTGTTGTGTTGTTTCCTGGACAAACACTGCCTATGACAGTAATTGATGCACAAACCATTGACATGATAAGAACATGTCTTGGAAATGATAGAACACTAGGTGTTGTATGTTTAGGATACGATAGAACAGCACCAGTGGGCACAACTGCAGAAATTTATGAGTGCATGTATGATGGTCCTGAACAAGGTTTTCGTTTAAAAGCCAAAGGCAGACAAAGATTTAAGATTCTAAGACTTATAATACAGGTATGCTCAAAATATATGTTGAAATATACAATGTAATACTTTATATCATAGTTTGTTCACTAATGTTAGTGTTTGTATCAAACAATTATTTGATATTAGGCATTTATTTGTCAATAAAATTAAAAACAAAAATAAATCATTTTTCAATTACAATATAACATTTTTTAAAGTAAATTTCCCTTGTCCATACATTTATTTGTTTTAAAAATCACTTCTTGGATGAACGTTTGGCTTCACTAGATCATTTACGGATAAATCCAAAAAATGAGGAAGATTTGAAGAAACAAGAAAGAGTAGAAAATTTAGATGCTGCAGTAACTCCGTGGCCTGCCTGGGTGTACCGGCAATACGATCCATTAAGACTATCTTTAAAAATACGACAATGTTTGCAGTTTATCGGGAACCGTAAGTATAAATATTTTTCACAATTTTTACACAGTGTGTCGTAAATATAAAATTGTATATGAATTGTATTTAAAACTGTTTGAACAATTCTAGGAGGAAGTAGTATACCAGAAGATCCTGCAGAGTTGTCATTTTGGGTTGCTCAAAACTTATTGCTCGATGACAATGAAAGAATTGTTTTATTAAATTATGACTGTGCAATTTCAAGGCTACAAAGGGAAATTAAATATTTAGTAGATGTATGCAAAATTAATTTCTATTAAAGCTTTAAAAATTAATCGATATGAAATTATTAAAACTAATAAATCATATTTCTCTTTTGCAGGATAAAATATTTATTTGTTGCAATTGTGATTCTTATATTGGAAGGCAATCAAATATGTTCCCAATGAGTAAAGAGGGCCCATTGGGTACTTATTGTAATCCTGCTGGAATTATACACGAGATTGTGACTTTATATCACGCGCAGGGCCTTATGCTAAGTCGTACTAGCCCACCTTCAATAGAATATACGTGGTTCCCAGGGTAAGAATTCTTTTTTCATATAAGCAATGTGCAAAAATTGCGGTGCTTATATGGGTTGGAAGTTTACAGCGGTTGAAAGTAATTTAAGACCCAAGGCATTTTGGGGCTTGACACGTAAAAGTTTGAAAAATAAAGAGAAGTGAGCAGACAAAAAATTGAGTGGTTCGAAGGTTAGTTTAAGAATTCCGGTGCATATTTCCAATACTTTGTTAGTATTATATCATTACATGCAATTGTTTGTGCTGCCCTTTTTCCTTGAGCTTTCAATAGCAATAATATTAATTTCTTCAATATAAAAACGGAGACTACAAAACATAATCCTAAAGCAGTTACATATTATGAACTTCCAATTGATTGAAGTACAGTATACAAATTTTGAAATCTGTATGTATATAGAATTTAATATTCTAAAGTCCGTGATTGATATAAAACAGTGTTGATTTATATATAATCTTATGTCATATCTATATTACACATAAGATGTAAATTCAATGAATCAATATATATTGAAAAAATGGGTGTTTAAGCAATATATAATTCGTAACTCAAACTTTTTATGTAACTAGTCATCATGAGATACATACATCCATTTCTAACATTGGTATAGTAATGTAATAGGAATTTGTCTACATACTTTGCATAAGAAGTTCGAGAATCGGGCCTTGTAGATGTATAATAGTAACTGCATACGAATATTTTACGGTGTAATGTCTTCACTTAACATGATGAAATAGTGATAAGACCATAATGGAAAGGTAGTATTGATTTTTCCCTGTCAATGTGTAGCAGTTACATATTCTTCTTTTTATATTATTATTTGAGAAGTGCGTGTATATTCGCAGAATAAGTTTAACACCATGTCATCTATCATCATTATATTAAACTTCAATAACTATATACGAATTATAAACAAAAATATAATACATGTTATTGGAATATAATATTTTGTTATTTGTACATCAGAATTTAATAAATGTGAATTTTAGGTGAAATGCGCAGTTATTTACATATATTAATCTTATTACTTATTTAGAAAAGGGATGTAACTTTTTTATATCTAAGGAAATTATTAGTTGCTTTAAAGTTAAAAAAGTGTGTTTAGATGAAACACATAAAAATATATAGTACAAAGAAAGGTAAGAAAATGAATTAAAATGGATATACAAAAGGAAACGAGAGGATATTGTAAATCAAAATGCGGTTCTTCATTCATTTCTTGCGCATGTCGTATATTTCTCGATTACCTTAACTCAATTAAATTTGTTATAATTATATCTTTATCTCAATCATATTCTCTTGTATATGTATCGTGTTTTCTTTAGTCGCGTTGAATCAGCAGATATGTTTAACAATCTGCCACAAAAATTTAATCAGCGATTTAATCAACGATAACGCTTCGCACTGTAGTACTATCATTCAGACATATTTCGTTATATATCGTATTCATTTCGTATGTACTCTCGAGATTCGGATACGTTGACTCATTTATGTTCATCATCTCGACAGTTGCTAGTCGTTTCCTGAATCCTATGTGTGTCTGAATACTATTCGATTCTTCCGATTTTAATTCCTAACCCAATCAAATTTTAATATTTTTATTGCGTTGTTAGCTGAATACACAAATGCGACGAAATATCTGCTATAAATTATATGTCCGTCTGGCATGAGCTTCAATGACCAATTTCGAAATACATTAAAGAGATTCTTATACTTCATTATTTTAAAGCACCGCTATAATAGTTCTTCTTCCATATATTCTTCATTATCTATTTTCACATTGCATATTGGACACTATATAGTAGTTGAAAACAAATTTCTGAATATTTTTTATACCTTGAAATTAAATGAGTATGAGAGGTTGTAGAATGCCTATCAGACACACTGTGATAACGAAATTTATTCCGAATCCAAATTGATGTAAGACTGTAAAAGAGCTTAAAATACTTATTGAATATGAATTGCAAGATGATAATCATGATTCACTCAAGCTGTAGGAATTAAAGAATTTTCGACTGAAATCCTTCCAGAAAGAAAGAACAATCCATTTCTGTCTGTTTTTTTACATTTCAGTTTCTTTTATTAGCATGTGTCTATCTGCGCATTTTCACAATAATAATACATATTTATAATACATATATAACAGAAATCTTTTGTCTAGAAGACAGACAAACAGATAATATTCTGTTAAAAAATTTGTTCTAATGTTGCCAGTACATAAGCACTTTATAGTATAAATGTAATACGCCACTATATTTTAAATAAAAAGATGTGTTAAGTGTCAATCGTTTTATGCGTAACATAATTTTCTACCTTCGATTTAAAAAAGAAAAATGTACTAATACGAAAAAAGCAATTGTTTATGAATTTTTTTCATGTGAGATTTTTAGTCATGATATATGTCCTTCTGAAAATATTATTTACACAAAAAAAGCATTTCTCGTGTTCGCATGAATATCGTTTACTTCGATCCGAGTAATATATACACAAAAATTTCGTTTAGTATAATTACCATCATAAGTATCTTATTTAACGTGTTAATTATTAAATCATGATCATTGCCTTTGATACCTGCATCTTCTTGACCTACATAAACTTAATCATAGTAAGACTGCCAGACTTGTAAATAGTTCGAATTTACTATAGGTTAAATATGAGAATATTATTGAGAACGTATATAGGAGTATATTCGTCGCATATATTCGAAAGTATTCATTAAATTATATTCCAGTATCTTTCAATACTTGTTTTAACGATAAATACTCATCCAGTGAGAATAGATAAAGGATCAGAATAAAATTAATTGAAAGATATCGACACGAGTCAGGAAAACGTACGTAACAGACTGTCGGGTTTTGTATCATTGCTGACTTTCATCTTGTCTCGTATGGATGTTTTATCATGCCACTTGTACACTTCGCGTATTCATATTTATTTATAGATCTGCAAGGTAGACATGTAACATATTTCATTACTATGTTCATCCAAAGCAGACATTTGACCATGGTTAACAGACTTACTTTCAATTTCCGATCCTGCAGAGATAAGTTTAGTGTGCGGCTGTGCAGTTGTGCTTGGTTGTTGATTACTCAGTTGCCCTGTAGTCGCTGGTGCAGCAAAACCAGGTGGTGGTTGCATTGCCCAATGTTGAGTTGGTGCGTTTTGTTGTTCCTGTACAGAATCAAAGGATGTTAATTAAAGAAGTACATTAAATACACAGTGTGCTTTGATTATTTGAAAAAAATTTTTACAAAATGTAGTTATGTTTAAGGATCAACAATTACATATAGCCTTTACAAAAAGAGGTAGATTATTTACTGTGGGACACTTGTTACTTTGGAGTACTCGTGTAATGTGTTTACTTTCAATACCCGAAACGTGAATATATTGATAGTAATTTACCATTTGAAAAATATATGAAAATGTTATAAAAATATTTAGTACCTGTTGCGCATTATGTGATACAGTGTGTGTAGGATGAACATGTGGAAACTGCCATGTACTAGTAGTTTGGAATGGAAGAGGCCTAGATGAACTAACAATAGCTGGATCAATCGAAGTCCAGTCTGCAATAGGTCCAAAGTTATTCCATCCGCCTTTTTGATGTAATGCTTGATGATGAAATTGTTGTTGTTGTTGTTGATTATTAATATCACACCAATCTTTAAGCGTATACACTGCATCGCCCGCACATTTACTAATACCTATTTTAAATATTTAATTCAAAATATTAATCACAGACAAAATATAAAGTAGAAAATTAATAGTAATTTGTATTAGAAAGTACCTTGTGAATTCAGAAGGGGGTTTCCATTTGGAAGATAGGCATTTTGCTGTGGTGGTTGTGCTCCTGTAAACAGCACACTAGACGAATGACTCATGTATAATATTATATAGATTTTTGCAAAGTCACAAGAATTCACTTTTATACTTGGATAACACTATTGCTCACCACAAGTACACATTTATTCACACTAACTCATTATTTCCAATTTAAACAAAAAAATATGCCTTTACTTTTTGAACAGTTACGTTTTCGAACATTTTGAACAAATGAACAGAGTAAACATAAAATACGTTTACAATCACCACAAACTGTTGACGAAATTACGAAAATACTAACCCGAAAGAGCATTGTTCGTGGGAGCTGGTCGCGGTATACCAAGACCAAAAGAATTCATGTGATTTGGTGTAGAACCAGGGAAACCTGGTGGTGGAAGGCGGCTACGTTGTCCTAAACTGGCGGCAGCCACATTACTCTGAGCAGGACTTTGCGTACCACTTTGTAATAAATTTTGTGGAAGACGAGACAACAGGGAATGAGATTGTTGAAGAACTTGTAGGTTCTGCAGGTGTTGAGCTTGTTGCTGTAAATGTGCTATATGGGCAACCTAAATAATAATCATAAACGATAATATGATATAAAAATACAAACAGCAATAACATGATTAATGTTTGCTTTGAAATATTATTGCTAATCAATTACTAAATGTTTTTTATATTATTTTCGAATGAAGTATGTAACTTACCTGTGGAAAGTGTTGTTGACCAAGGTTTGCAATATTTTGTTGATGTTGTACCCTATTTTGTTCTTCCCGTTCTCTTTGCTGTTGTTGCTGCTGTTGAAACAACCTTTGTTGTTGAATTTGCATTTCATTTTCCATAAGTTCAGCCAGAGCTTTTTGCGTTTCATGGAAAGGATCAAAACCTAAATCGTCGTCAGCTTTTATATCTGAACCGGATTCTTTGTGATTTCGAACCTCTTCCAGAGTAGCATGACCATTTTGTTTTATATATTCACAGTTCTCTTGATTTTGCTGTGCCTTAGGAAATTATAGTTATTTTTATTATGTCACACTTACCAATGCAATTACAATTAAAGAATTTTTATAAATCACTCTATTTATATCTTATCAATATTAATTGATATTTCAATAAATGAATGATGTCATAAGCTGCTTACCTGTAAAGCAAGCCTTTGTTGTAATGAGTTTTGTTGAAAATCTGCCATAAATTTGGATGCAGGAGAATTAACAAGTAAGTTTGGTGTAAAAGTACCAGATGGTTCTGATAGTGTAGTATATTGTAGATTCGTGTATACTTCTTCATCTACAAAACTTTCAGAATTGAATGTTACTCCTGGTGAACTAGATGGACTGGATTTTTGTACAACATGATTTGTTCTTGATGTTTCAGGTTGAAAACCAAAAGCTGCTTGCCAATCTTCACTTGACTGTACCATTGG